AAAATATCGTTTTTATAATTATTTTTAACAATATGTATAAATATTAAATACACAGTGTAGTTGTAGTTACTATGTGCACATCTAACCAACTATACTCTTTAAAACGTACATAACTATCCGAATATTTAATGGAAATTAGTTACTCGAATTCAAAAATATTTCCAAAATTAAAATTATGGATAGATTACCTATTAAATATTTTTATTTTTATTTTTTTTGAGTTTAGGTAGAAGTGTAACATAAAATAATACTACACATTTTAACAGTTGTGCAGTATTTCCATTATTATTCATAAATCATATTTAAAAAATATTATTTGATTTTCTCGTGGAAATAAACACTATTATGTATAACAGAATTTAATTTGAGTACCTACTAGTCAGAAAGACATATTATAACTAAGATATTTAAGACATATGCATTTCTTTTTTCTAGTACAATTTTTAAATATCTCTATTCTATACAATGAAAATATTGAGCAGCTTTTGTCATCGAAACTCAATTTTTGACTAAGTTTCTGTCCACTGAGTTTAAACTGAAAATATGTTCAATATTTCTGTTTTTTTTTTATTTATTTTTTTTTTTAAATAATCTAGTAAATATTTTTCATTTTTAACTTAAAGGCAGATCAAATAATTAGTAATGGATATCCAGTAGAATTGTATGAAGTTGAAACTAAAGACCATTACATGGTAGGCATGGAACGAATACCGTATAGTAAAAATGGCAACAAAACAATTGGCAAACCTATAATTCTATTGCATGGTTTGTATGGAACGTCAATGTATTATACACTTAACAATATATCTCTCAGTAAGTATATTTTAATAATATTTTTGTGTCATAAAAAATATACAATTATAACTAGGAAGTATAAGACATGTCAACCGAAAAAACGTCTATATTATTTAAAAAATGCTAATGTATCAATTGATCGTAATATTATTTAGTCCCGTCTTGTTATTTCACTTAACAGCATAGTTATAACTAGGGCTGGGATTTTAATGCCCTAAAAATTCCAAAAAATACCCTTAAAAAAATGCGTAAATACTGACATAATTTTTTCATAAGGTAGAGCGACCAGGCGTTTGTTTATTGGTATATTTTTCCAAATAWTTAGAAAACGTAGAATTTTCGAGTTTATTTAACGGAATATTACACGAAAAAAATGTACGAGTTAAATCTAAAAAATATTCCGACCGATTTGGTATTTCTGTAATAAAACTTTGTGTATCCTTTTTCTCGTTTTCTAATTAACTCTGTTCTACTCCATTTATGTATTTATCTCTTGAATTCTTGATAAATGTTTTTGTATGGTAAATCGTTTTTCAGCAGTAACTTTCACGTTGTATATTTTACAGAATAACACCAATCTGTCGGTAGAAAAAATATTATGTCCAAAATTTTGTACAAACGTACGCAATCGACTAGGTGTCAAACATTTTACTTTTAGCGTTTTCATATTAAATTAATGTAATAAAACGGTGTTTACGACGACAAAACTCGTACYGAACATCGAACGATATCATCGGACGTCGATTTTACCGATTTAAGATTATTTAACAGAAAATGCGGGTGGTGGTCACTCAAACCTTGTCCCATAATATAATACAAATAACGAGTACCTAACTACTTACAATCTGTTATATTTATATAAAAACTATGTTGGTGTAAAAATCTTAAAATAAAATTTCAAATTCATACTTGGTTTCCAAAAACTCAAAAACTGCTCCAAAAACTCTAAATAATGCCCTAAAAAACTAAGAAAATGACCTAAAACTAAAAAATCCCAAAAAATGCA